TGTATTTATAACCACAGGAACAGCAACATTTCTTTAATTGAAGCTTCTTTAATACAGCCTGTTCTATATTTCCATGAAAGCAAGACATTTATAGATATTAATGAAAAGAAAAAAAATACTAACACAACTGAACAGAAAACAGAACACAACTGAAGAAAAAATTTTCTTTATAGTCAGGGATCTGGAATTTTTCAGGAACAACTCAGAAGTTTCGGGGACATCAGTGCTTACACAGACTTCAGTAGCACAAAACAGATTCAGGCAACTCCACACAGAAAACAACAGAAGAAACAGGCCACACAAGTTTTGTGACTTGTACAAAATGACATCGTCAGAAAAAGCACCTTAAGAAGATTCTCTCAAGAAGACAGCAAGTGATGATCAGCATCGTCCCTTTCTGCCAAACAAGACCAGAGGAAAGCTGCAGATAATTAAGTCATTCCAACCAGAAGCTTTCTACTCTTTCAGCAACACCCTTCTGTCTAAACATACAACCCTGTCCTCTCTTCAAGTAAGTTTATTGCAACAGAACTGAACTTGTCATTATTCTTATAAACAAAACAACAAACAGCCACAGGAAAACTCTTTCATAATGCAAAGGCACTATGAGGAACAATTATCTACCCTGATTTGACACAAATCCCTTTCTCATAGACATATTTCAAAGCCCCAAACCAAATCCCTCTCCCCTCTATGCAGAAAGTGACTTCCTGCAGATGCTTTGCAGCCATCATAATGCAGGGGCCAGCAGAAGCAGCTACAGACACGGTGAAAGCAGAGATTGCTGCTGAAGCACCAGATCCCCTTCTCTCCCTGCACTCTGCTCACTACAGTCCCTTCTGCAGCCACCACAAGAATTGGGAAAGATGCTTCTAAAGCAGCACTGGACATCCTCCATCTTTACCACAGGTCCTGAAGGGAAAAGAAATATCACAGAGAAGAGACATATTATTTGTTTACTACAGGCACCAGTTTTGAGAATCTTCTGCAAGCTTCATTACCTGGCTTGACTCCCTCATCCAGACTCCTCAGCTGCTTCCCTTACCTTCCCCATCTCCCCTCCTTTCCCTTTTCTTACTTGTAAGCTCACAGATGCTCTGGAGATGGTTTATGCATTTCCTAATTAAGTCCTTACCAAAACCCAAAGATATCTGCTGGGGCTGCAAACATTCCAAGACACGAAGTAGATGAACACTAACAATCCAGGCATCTGAAGCCATAAACCACAACCTTTTGCAACAACACAACAAGGTTGTTCTAGACCATCTCACTGAATAAAATCCAAGCTGGGGGAAAAAGCCTCCCATTTTCCACTTGCTCATACTCACCCTGAAATACAAGTTTAATGCTCAAATGTATTTCAGAATTGGGCTTTTGGTTACCACAATATCCCAACACACAAGAAGTAAAACAGAGGCCAGAAGTAATGTACATACTTCATGTCATAAAGCAGCTACTGCAGACTAGCAGCACATGTTTCAACAGCACAAGGAAATCCAAGTTATTATTCCTAGAGCTGCTTACACTACTTTCTACAAACATCTACTGAAGCCTTTTGAAATGAGGTGTTAAATGTCCCGTAAGAGCAAACAACTGACTGACTAAAGTGCAAAACTCCAAAGGAGGATTTCCAGCTCACTTCTGATGGGTGCTGCAGAAAGACACAACAGCTAACCAGGAGATAAGTGCTCTGCAGCAGTGCCTCTGAGCCCTCTCCACCCTCAGGAGTAGGGACAAGGAGGGAAAGCACTTGCTTAGCTCTCTTTCTAAATCTGAAGCCAAATTTGAAGCAGAAGGAGCAACTCTCCATTAAAAACTCTGTGAAAACGAAACCTCCTTTCTAAACTACCTGGATGGCTGTGATGGTGCTTGGTTGGGGGTTTGTGGAGCCGTGTCTGTATCTGTCCTGCAGCCCAGATGTCTCACCAACACCTCAGAGTTACCAGCTGTATTTCACACTAGAATCATAAGGTAGCAAAGTTGTCTGATCATTCTAGCACTTCAGCAGACTGCAAGACTACACAAAGGCCTTTCGACCACAATTCAGTTTCAATTTGAATTAATTCATTCTCAGCTTCAATAAAAACCAAAAGGAAAAGCTTGACCACCAGAGGCATTTGTACCATAGTTCTGTACATCTTCTGGAACTTCAGATTCTCCAGAACTGAAACTTTAAAAATTAATGAAAGCAGAAGTTTGAGTGCTCATCAAGCAAGCAAGCACAGAGTTCCAGTGATAACAATGGGAACTGGAAATGCTCGGTAGGCATTCCATCTTTATTCACCAGATCACTGTCTAAATGCTGCCAAACTAATAAAGTAACTCTGTGAAACGACCACTGTAAGAACAGATGTGCTGAGTAGCCATGCCGTGCCTCAGGATCCTTACCCTGCACTGGAGGGACAGAGATGCACTTGCAGTGATTTCAGCACACAGTGAGACTCCTGTCACTGCTACATCCTGCAGGATTAATTACCAGCAAGAGGAAAAAGCTCAGCAAGCACTGACGGCACTTTCATGGAACCAACAGAGCAGGTTCCATAGGATGCCAGCATCCCCCTGGCAGACCCAGCTTTGTCAGGACGCGCTGGAAAAGCGGCTGCGTGTCGCCTGCGTCCAGGGCTTATCAGCTCCCTGCCAGCAGAGCTGTTTGTGGGGCATGTGACTTTTCCATGACCAACTTTTTAATTTGGTACTGCACTGGACTAACAATGGGTTACATTCATGTCTTAAAGGGCAACCTACAGGGAATGGAGCAGCCCCAGGAATCGAGCAGAGCCTTAAACAGGGGAGAGCACCCTGTGAGGACATGGCCTCGTGGCCCTCTCTGTCCATCCCCAAGCAGCCTCAGCCCCCACAGGCAGGACGGGAGTGCCCAGCCAGGCTGCCCACCCCAGCCCACACACCCTGCACGGGACACACGACCTTGCACAGGGCTGTTATCAGCGCTCCAAGGAGCGGTGCAGAGAGCAGGAGTTCAAACACAACACCCCAGACCTCGTCTCGTGGCAGGCAAAGCAGCTCATGCCCTCCTCTCCAAAAGGACGGGGATTCACTTTTTTATTGAAGTTCAAAAAACAAAACTTCTCAGATTTTCCAAAAGCAAGGAAGAGAGGCTTAGACACAGAGAGGTAGGGAGCAGCTTTCTCTCCACATTTCAGAACACCACTACACATCAGAACATGGAAACCACAAGCACTGTTCCCATCTGGCCTCTCACTTGTGTCTGAGCATCCATTCACGTCTCTCCCACCACCACCAAATCCCTATCCCTCCCTCTTGCACTGATACATAAAAAACATGAACTGGGAAGCTACAGAATGAAGTGAGGACAGTCAAAATGCCTCAGCTGTGCTGCTGATCTCTCCACACAAACCTGAGAATAACTCAACCCCAGATCACAAGAAGGATGATTAATGGTGCAAGCACATCCTGTTCCTAAGAGACACAAAGTTACAATTAACATCTAAATAGTAGTTATAGGCTTCAAGTTCACCAGACTTTGTCATCAGTAGACACAAAGATCCAAAATGTAAGCTTTACTGTTTCAAAGTTGTCTACAAAGGAAAAATTGTAGCTATTTCACTTTCACTCTAACTTTACAAAGTTTTAGCATCTTGTTAGAAAGAGAACTGGCAGGCTCAGCAGCTATTCTGAATCACTGGCTGACTTCCTCACTTTCCACATCTTTAAAGATAATCACAATTACATCACTAATAATCCATTATTTATCCCGATTCGCGTCATCCAGTGACTGAGAAGTTTCTACATCCAGTGACTGCCTTTTTCAAAGTTAAATGTGACAGGAAACAAAATTATACATGTTCTTCCACCAAAAATTGCTTTTAAATGGTATTTGATATAAATCAAAAAGAGGGAAAAATGCCAGAGCCACAGAAGTGCTCCTCCTAAAGTTTGGAGAGCACCACAAGATTTCTAGCATTTTCTCAGGCTTGGTATTTGTTAATATTTGACATCTAATTCATAGCTATAACACAGAAAAGAGACATTAAAATAATCTGGTCTTTTCAGTCATTCGTTTAGACATAATTTTTTAAAATTATTCTCAAGATTCAAACTTATTATAGATTTTTTTCTACAAAAATCCTACATTTCAACATTCTGGCTTTGCTGAGTTTTGATCTATGAATCATCAAGAACATTCTGTGGCAAATCCATACCAGCTTTTAAACTAAAATACAAATACATCTTTAAAGCACAAACACGGCCACAGGCACTTTTTAGAAAAGGAATAAACTTCTTCAATGAATACATATCCCAATACATTAAGTAAATAATGCACATGCAAGGGGGGCATGAATACACTGTCAGCATAAACTGACACAGAGTCTGCTTGATTGGATTCAGCTTTGTTTAACCATTACTGCTTCAAGTGCTGAATCTATTTTACTGGTATTTTTTAATAAAATACACCTCCGTCCCCCATGCCCCCCTCCCACCCAAAAAACCCCAGACAAACAAAAAGCGGGGAAAACCCCAACAAAACAAAAAAACCAGTCCAACAGGTACATGGGGGAGTGGGGATGAGGTGAGCGGCGGGGTCACCCCCCAGCAGCTCCCTGGCAAAGCCAAAATCCTAAATGAGAGCCGGGAGCCCGGCCCAGCGCTGCAGCGAGCGCTCAAACTCCTCACCGAGCCCCAGTCGGTGACAAAGGGAAAAACACGCCTTCACCAGCTCGCTTTCTCCTGTCACATCACGCACACCCGGGAATGAAGATGGAAAAGGCGAATTTTTAGCACTTTTCCTCACAGCTCCCATCTCCAGGCGGCAGCTGCCCGGCCGGCGGCTGCTCTCCCTCCCATCCGTGACGGAGGACCCGGGGAAACGCCCGCTCATCTTCCCCACGAGACGGGCCCGATCTCCCCGGAACAGAAAACTCCTCCGGGAAAGAAAGCAGCGAGGGCGGGCGCCGGGGCCGAGCGGCCGCTCCCGCCGGGCCGCCCCCCTCACGCGGGCCCGGCTTGCGGCTCCCCCGTACCTGGCAGTGCGAGACGACGAGGCTCTGGTTGCCTTCCCCGTGGTACTTCCATTCATTCTCATCCATCTTCTCCACTTCCATGCCCGGCCCGGGCCGCGCGGAGGGCAGGAGCAGCCGCCAGCCCCGCCGCCTCACGCCGCCACCATCGCGGCTGCGCCGCCCGCCCTCAGCCGCGGGAAGTCCCGCCCGCCGCGGGCGCCATCCCGGGCAGCGCCGCCGGGGCAGCGGGAACCCTCCGGCGCCGCCCGGGCAGAACCGGCGGCGGAAAAGCGTGTTCTACCTCCGGGAACGGCCGGTCAAAGGAGGGGATGGTCCCGCTCTGCTCTGCAGTGCTCTCACCTTCAGTCCTGTGTGTAGTTCTGGGCACCACACTGTAGAAAAAGGGACTAAGCTGTTAGAGAGCATCCAGAGAGGCCGTAGGGATGCAGAAAGGCGGAGAGGGAAAGGCTTGTGAGGGGCAGCTGAGGGCACTTGCTTTGTTCAGCCTGGAGAGAAGGAGATTGGGGCAGACCTCATCTTTATCGGGAACCCAGCCAGAGTGGGGTCGGGCCCTGAACAGGCTCCCCTGGCTCACAGCGCTCACGGAGAGTTTGTCAATGCTCTCAGGGACACGGTGGGACTTGGGCTGTCCCAAAGCTGGACTCCGATCCCGACGGGTCCCTCCCAGCTCCGTGTGTTCCGCGGTGTGGGGTGCCCCTGTAACCTGCTCCCTGTGTGGAAGGTGAGCTCGCAGTGGAGGACCTGCACACAGTCCAACACCCAAAACAGGGCAGGTTTTTACCCCTGTGGGATTGCGTTTCACAGAATCACAGAATCAATTCGGCTGGAAAAGGCCTCCAAGATCATCAACTTGCAACCAGTCACCACCTTCAAACCCGGCACCAAGTGCTACTTGCAATCTTTCCTTAAACACCTCCAGTCGCTCCCAGTGACTCCACCATCCCCCTGGGCAGGCCCTTCCAATGTCTTTGCAGCTACAGTTTCCAGTTCTGCTGGTTTGAGTTTTACAGATGTTTTCTCTTGCAGTCAAGTGTCTGTTTAATTAGCCTTGTGTTCCAATATACCAAGTCGTTCAAATACCCAGTGTCAGAATCAGAAAGATGAACATCTGTGTAACATTCTTTAAAAATTAAACAGTAAGCTGTTTTCCCAAGTATGAATATACACATATAGAAAACAGTCTAAAGATCCGAACTCCCTATCACAAACACAGGATCAAATTCTAGAACCCTTAATCCAGTAATTTTTATGACTAGGAGTTTTGACCAGAAGCAGTGAAACTTACCCTTCAATGACCATTTTAAACCAATCCCTAAGGGCTCTCTGAAATTCCCCCTTTTCTTTCCTGCTTCCTCACAAGGCTCTTCATGACAGGGGCCAGGCTGGCACAAAGGAGGTAATTAACACTCAGAAGCTTTCCTCTGTATAATGAACATTTGTATAATTTGGATAGTACCCAAACCTGACTCTCTATTGCAGCTTTTCAAAAGAAAGTCAAAGAAAAGTAAATGGTGCCTTTTTTACAGAGAGAGAAGATGCAACTAGAAGGCTGAAAATAAAACTTGCATAAATCTGCAATGAGTCACTGATCTTTTTTTTAAATATGTGTGGTGTAACTTAAACACATAATCTAATTTCACTAAACATAAAAAATGGGTTAAACAAAATATGTGCTAAAATACTAACTGATAATCACGTTTCCTTTTATAGCATACTCTACATGCCTCCATGAAAAAGGAATTTTTGCTCCTTTGACCATTTGATAAAGATGAAAATAATGATAGTGATTTCTTTAAAGTAGGTTTCTATCATCTGTGTTTGCAAAGTTTCTCTATGTGTGTTACTAGAAATGCATATCTAAAATACAAGAATTAACCATACTATTCTGAATTTTAAGAGTGTTATAAAGAAGTTTCACTCAGGACTGTAAGACTGTGGTATTTATGATACTATCATTAAAAAATAACTGTACTTCAGGAAAACAGTATTTGAACACTCTTTAGGCTTACACTGAGAAATATATAGGGAAATAATACCAATGTATTGTCTTGCAATGGCAAAACTAATAGGCCTCATTTTTAAAAGGAACTCTAGCACAGCACATTCTTTCATAGTTCTGAAAAATGCACACCTACAGAGTCAGAAATAAAGTGGAGGTTTGAGTGCACGAGTAAACAGCACTGAGGACACCAAGTTTTAACATATTCTTTCTCTCCAGCAAGGCACTTCCCTCAGCTCCTTTTCCTCCAGCATGCCCAGGTGCAGAACTACCACCTGGGCAATTTGAGGCAGTGCTCTGAAAATAGGCTGGTGAAACTTAAACCTGGAGGGACAAAAGCCTATTTAACGTATGTCATTTCTCCCTGCATTATCAGGTCTTATTACTCATTCCAGGTATTATCTACAACGTGCTTGGACTGAACTATCAGAAGCCTTGGTGCCATTAAATGCCATTCAGGTACTGCCTAACTGGAATTCCCCTGTCAGGTGGTGTAAGTACAGCTGGTGTGGACATACCTGGATGGGTTTTAATGAGGTGCCTTGAGGTCTGCGAGCACAGAGCTCAGTGACCTGCAAAATCCACCCAGGGGTCTCAGCAGATGGCCAGGTAACCTGTGGTTTTTCAGTGTGTAAATAAATGAGTTTAAAAGTGCAGCAGGAATGCATAATGTACCTTCAGTTCTCCAGCCCCCACTTCATCCCCTCAGCAGATCTTTTTTTGGTGTTTGAAGGAGTCAGCAGAGCACCACAGGCCTGAAATCTCTTTTCCTCAGAGAGCTGTAACTGCATTGTGCTTTATGGCACAATCCCCATTTCTTGGGATATTTTGGTGTTGGGAAGCCATCAACACTGAACTCTCTCATTTGCCATCTTTTGCAATTCGTAAGTTCACCAGGGAATGAAAATAAAATTGTAAGAACAGTCCACAGTCCACATATTCACTTTGAGGAGGAAAAAAAGTATCAGGCAAATATTTAATGTTGACATTCTTTGCTATAAAAAGTTCATTAAATCCAAATATGAGGGGAAAAAAAATATCATTACCTGAGACTCGTGATAAAATTGGGTGCCAAAAATACAAAGGTCTTGTAAGCTCATGAGAAGCATTTCTGTACAATAGGTACATCTTAGTTCTCTTGGTTCCTAAAATGAAAGAAGCTTCTGTATAAAAGAAAGGATATTTTGTCCTTTATGAAAAGAGTAATCGTGACACAAAAGATCCTCTCCTGTGACCTAGAAACATCTGCCTGGAGAAATCAGTTTTAAAAATCACAAATTGAAGGCAATGAGTCCAAAAATATTAAATGGACTTGATAATACAAGAGTGAAATTGTGTTACAAAATACCATTACTATTTGTTTTAAACTACTACACCATTTTCAGTTTCAAAAAATAGAATTCTGTTTAAATAGGAATGAGTTTCATACTTTTATTATACTCAGACCAGCAGAAATAGAATATACTTATGTAACTCAGATCATTCAAATGTTCAAGCTTTGTCTTTTTTCTCATATCAGGCTGCACCATGCCACTGTTATTTCTTGAATCCCTGCTTTTTCTACATAATTTCACACACATACTGGAAGTGCAGGAAATTTCATGCTCCAACTGTCATTTCACCATCTCACACTGACTAAGAATCACTGACCCTACAAAGAAAAAAAGATTACAATAGGACTGGAGTGTGTAATTTGATGGTTTTTTTCAGAAAGCATATGTGGTGCTTTAAACCACAGTAAAATATTGTAGAAATAAAGGGAAGTCATGGCTTCAGGAATAAGGCTGTAGGTAACAGGAAAGGTGACTTTATGTGAATAAAGATAAAGCCACGTCTATGTTGTTAGCAGATAAGAGCTTGCACAAACTTACCACAGATATGGATAAACAGACATTATAACTACCAAGAACTTTAATTGCTACATACAGTCTGAGAGAGTTACAGATTTATAGACACAGCTTAAAGAAGAACCCTGTACTGTATATCTAACTCCAAAGAATTTCCAGGACAGACAATATTTTTTACATGTAGACAAGACAATTAAAAAAAACTTCCTGTACACAGGATGCCTATACGTTTATTGAAAATAAAAACAACTATTTATCAGTGGGACATGATCCAAAACACAAACAAATGAAAAACAGTGTTGTTGTGATTTTTTTTTTGACTGGTGAGAGAAAATATATGGAAAAGATGTGCTGTAGGAGGTCATTAAAGCAAAAAACTATGGTGAAATCCTAGTAGCTTTGACAGGGTATTAAGGCAGAAAGGAACAAGACCAACCCCATCTAAGCACCTCCTTAAAGTCTTTTTAGAGCCTCTCATCTGCAGGCAAGGAAGGAAAGATTAAGGGATAAAGAGCTTTTTAGGTGTTGCCTTGTATTAATGGACATACCAGCAACTAAAAAGCAAAATACTCTTTCCATAAAGAGGTGAATGCAGAGCAGTTCTGTAGCCACAGGACCTGTGGTGCTTTCAGGCCAGGCCAACACTCCTCAGTGCAGGTGTTCCCTGTTGATGCTGCACTGTTTGCTCACCATCAAACGCCTCTCCCAACTGCTCCTGTGGAAACACTTTATTGTGTCCTATCACAAATATTCCCCAGCCTTGTGCCCAGCCCTTGGACCTGTTAATGGTTAAAGGACAGCATTCAACTTCTTTTTCAACCTGTGTGATCCTCTTTAAACAGGGAAGAGGACGTGTAGATTAACCTGGTTTTCAGCTAAATCGCCATCGTTTGGCAACACTTCTGTAGGAAACCTTGAAACCTTCCCCATGAGAACTTTCAGTTCACTGAGTACAAGGTCTCCTGAAGATAAATTACTAATTTATGTGTAAATTGGTGACATGTTAACATTTCAGTTTATACCCAGAAATGCCAATCTATAATAGATGGAAAACACCAAACAGCAATATATATACAGTGGTACAGACACACTGGGCATCTACCACTTTTGTACTTATTGAGAAATTCAGATTTATGTTCCTTGGCGCAGCTATCAAATACTTTCAAAGATAGAGATCCTTCAATCCATATGTACTACATTTTTAAATTATTTTTATTAGCACTGTATTGTTAATGATTTTGGAGTGATCTCATTATGCAAGTGGCATCATAAAATTCAGTGTTCCCCCCAACCAGCTCCCTTGAAGAACCCAATTTACTGGAATTGTCATGAT